CTGGCTCTCCTGGCTGAGGTTTCTATATGTTGAAATGCCCAGCCCAGGCTGCCAGAGCCATCTGGTGATGGTGTAGTTGTAAATAGGACATAACATGTACATAACACAGACTCTTAGAGCAGAGAGGGGCCAGTGATTGAGACTGGCAATCCAAGGGGACAAGACCATTTTTTTTCTCTTTATTTGAATCTGTAAAGATCTTGAACTGCATTTTGAATTAGTTAATTCATGAGCTGTTAACCCAAATTTATGTCCCAAGTTTTTAGAGAATAAATAATAAGATTGTTGTCTCCAAAGAGAAAGATTTATTGAAGAATACAGGTGCATAGTTCAGTACATTCATACGGAGCAGACACAGGGTTAGATTCAGTAGTTGGCAGACGTTCTTCATCATTTAAATCTAGATTTAAAGGCAACTGCATTCAAGTTTACCTCGATCATCCAGTAAATTGATACACGAGTGAGAATCTGAAAAAAGTTTTCTGATTTCCTCAAAATTTAAATGCAGAAATCCAGGGCTTCCCTTGTGGCTCAGCTGGTAAAGAATCCACCTGCAATGCAGGAGACCTGGGTTCGATCCCTGGGTTGGGAAGATCCCTTGGAGAAGGGAAAGGCTACCCACTCCAGTATTCTGGCCTGGAGAATTCCGTGGACTGTATATAGTCCATGAGGTCGCAAAGAGTCAGACACAACTGAGTGACTTATTAAAAAAAAAAAAGAAGAAATCCCACTAGTAGAATCCAAAATTTTTCTTCATGATCATCAGACTTCTGTAGAGCCCTTGGCTGTTGAAAGAAAGGTACTTCAACTCTTACAAGGCTGGTAATGGGAGGAAATTAGGAGCCAGTGGGGACTGGGAGATACAGGTGTGACAGGTGAATCTTATTTGTGAAGATGGGCCTCTTTAAGTGTAGTGAAGTGAAGTCACTCTCGTGTCTGACTCTTTGTGACCCCACTGACTGTAGCCTACCAGGCTCCTCTGTCTATGGGATTTTCCAGGAGATGTGTTCGTATCCAAACTCCCGGTGGCTCACATAGTAAAGAATCTGTCTGCAGTGCAGGAGACCCAGGTTTGATCCTTGGGTTGGGAAGATCCCTTGGAGAAGGGAATGGCAACCCACTCCAGAATCCTTGCCTGGAGATTTGCATGGACAGAAGAGCCTATCAGGGTACAGACTATGTGTTCGCTGAGAGTCAGACACGACTGAGCAACTAACATACCTGATGAGCTCCTTTTTAATCTTCTTCCTTCCATCCTTTCTCCTGTAACATGCAGGCAGAGTAATAGTTCATCTTTTCTGTGTGCTTTATTTTTTAGAGGGGGGTGAATTTTCACTGTCCTCCCATCAAATGACCTATGTGACTCAAGGGAAAACAGGCAGCTTAGATTATGATATAATTATTCACAAAGGGAAAACGTCAGTGGAAATTATTGTCTTTACGTTTTCTCTATTCTTGATAGTGAATCAAAAAATTTTTCCCCTTAGCCTCACATAGAAAATGAAATTTTACACAATAAGGTAGGGATGGCAGGTCTCACAGGGGAAAAAGGTTGCTGTCAACTTTTTTCCTCCGGAATATGGAAATTTGGGTGGATTATCTGTTCAGAGGAGGTTTCCTTTATTAATTCTTTTTCCTTTTTTTCACTTAAGACATCTGTTAACATTTCACACAGCCCAACAGATGTTGCAAAGCAAGTCCCATACTTTGTTCTCAGGAAAAATGACATTTCCTCAATTGGTTACCCCCACCTCTGTGACTGGGCCCAGCCTGCTGCTTCTGCATAATTTGCATATATTAAGTTATATACGTTAATGCTATACGAATTTGTAGTTTCAGCATTCTTTTTATACTCTGAAGTCTGTTTTGATTAGAAACTAGTTTATACATTGAGGGTTGAGAGGTCATAACATTTAAAAAATCTCCTTTGAGAACAGCAGCCTAATTCTGTAGATAGGTTTGGATAGCCAATTACTTAAGAATTTTTTTTCTCTATAAAATAAGTGAAGTACAAAAGCTTGAGTTGTTTTGCCACGAGGAAGTGCTGATTGTCATGCGATGTGGAGCGTCATTTTTATTATTTTGGCAAGAACAGGACAGTTTTGTCTTGACAAGCCATTAGATGAATACCAGCGTGTGTCACATGAAAAACCACTGATCTTTAACCCAGCTCTGTACTTAACCAAGCCTTGAAAATGAATAGTGCATAAAAGAAGAGCAAAGGCCAGTTTACTGTCATTACAGATTACAGAATCTGTTAACAGCTGCTGAACTGAACCCAGGGAATTACAGGTATTGTTCCGTGAACCAGCGGAAGTCCTAGAGATGCTTGTTAAACTGTGTCTATAAACCGTACATTTATTTGATATTTGCCTAGGATTTACATTGCTGGAAACATAGCTGAAAAAAGGAAAATCCTTGAGTACTTTCTCTGTGTACTAAATGCATGCCTTTATCACAAAACCACATATATTTACATAGAACTGTCTCAGTGATACTTCCTTACCTCACTTACGGAACTTATTTTAAGAAAGCAATGTGTTTTCAAAGAAATTAATAGTGAATATTAAAAAGAAAACAAATAGTATCCCCCCCCCCGCTCCCCAAAAAATCACACATACAAAACAAAATCCTTAGCTCATTTGTTTCCTCAAGGTGTTCATTGTGGCTAATATTTGTACCAACATGTGATCTTTTTTTTTTTAATGGAGGGAAGAATCTAACCCATCTCAATACCCAAATATTGAAAAGATCAGTAACATTTAAAATAGTCGGTTGTGGGAATTATTGCTTACAGAGCTAACAAGAAAGAACACACTTTCTAACTCTGCTGGTGGAGTTGCATTGTGCCTCCCTGTAGTCTTATTATCCCACACTAACTGAAATGCAAATTCTCTGTAACTAATTGGATCTCATTGAGGGTACATGCACAGTATGTAGTTATATGCAAAAAGGTTTTAAAAACTAAAATTTCTTTGTAATTACAACTTTTGATTACTATCTGAAGCATTGGTGTCTATAGCATAGGTTTATAATATACATATATATTTAACTTTTTTATAGATTACTCAAAAACATGAGCTATGAGATGCTTGGTAAATACCAGCTCAGAAGTTAGGGGGCAAATGTTTGTTTACAGGAATCTATAAGTTGGATTTTATTAAAGTCTTGTGAGAATGAAGATTTTTTGCTTTTGAAGTTTAGGATTTAGTATCTTAGAGCCCATACACTGAAGTCATGCTTATAGTATAATCCTTTTGTTGGAATATTTTAAATGTGAAAACATCATAAACATAAGAAATCACTTCCAAAAGCTATTGTCTTTTTGTTTTTCTTTAGTTCTCCGGTTTACTTTAATATTGTAAACTGCATCTGAGTTTCTTTTGCGTAAGTGTATTTCTGCTGCATGTTGTGATGAGGTGGATGTATTCACATTCTTACAGTGTCTTTACTAACTTGGGTGCCATTTAGACCTAATTGGTGTATTTCTTCCCATGGTTTGTTTCTCACTGTCACTAAGAGTGGGAAAGCCAACATACAGCCTTTAGTATTTGTGATTCTTTCAGTGGAAATACATGGATCAGGACAGCAGAAAACTGTGGAAGTGATGCTTGCCTCTACTCCCCTAGTTTCAAGTAATTTTAGTACAAATGATTCTAGACAGTTATTTTACAATCTGCAAATTAGATAGCCAGTAGACAAACTCACAAATCATGTTTGTGCCTTGTGGGTGTATATTTTTTTGTGCCTGTGTCCTTATAGGTGTCCTGCTTGCTAGACAAAAGATTATCCTAGAATTGAGGACTCTGCATGCTGTGTTTCTATGTGGAAGTAAGTGGCAAGTTCAAATCAAGCATTTTGGAGGTTTCTAGAGGAGTCAAAATTTGTATTTTGAGGATTTGATTTAAAAATGATTGTTCAAAACTTAAAATCTGCAAAGCACAGTATGTGTTTATGCCTGAGGTTTTTGTTTTCGTTTACCTGTTCACTCACTTCTTGGTAAGTCAGGGTTAAGTGTTACCTCTTATCGTATGAAAGCTTGTCTTCTTTGTAGACTGTTCTTACAAACAAGTTAAAATTTTGTTTGATCAAATCCATTTAGCAGGTGCAGAATTGCATGATAGATTTTTAGTAAAAAAAAAAAAAATCTTAGATAACCTGGTGCTTTTGAGGCATGTGTCTTGACAGTTACATGCCAGGTACTAGTAATTTACACTATACACTTGTTTCATCTAGGGCAACCCAAGCTTTGCCCTCTGAAAGAGCTCAGCTTGCCTAGGATGGGTAGCATTTTGTCAGCCGGGCAGGCCAGATTTGGATGTATTAGCTAGTCAGCCTAATAACCCTGTACAGACTGTATTGATTTTCTAGGAGAGAGTTTATGAACTAAATAAACTTGGGGTTGGTGTCTTAATAAACTGCTTCTTTCAGTCTGTCACATTTAGTTACAGAGCTGTGCAGTTTAGGGGGAAAAAAGGCTAATTCTGTTACAGATTGTTCACAGCAGGGTCTCCAAATTAGCCCTTTGTTTTGTAATGCCACCTTGCTTGGGCTCGCTTTGAGCACATTTCTCAGTTTTGCCCTAATGAGTTGCAACACTGATAATGTGGCTGATGATCTTTCATTGATTTCACTATCACTTGCTTGTCTGGTAATTGATCCGTTGCTGAGCCTCTAGTTAATTATATCGGCTTTGACATGGCCCGGTCCACGGGGAATTTCAAGTCTTGCAGAATAACAGTTTTAATAAAAGAGTCTATTACTGCAGGTGCTTGCTGCTGCATGCCAGTTGATTTTTGTGTTGTCTGTGTGTGTGTGTGTGTGTGTGTGTGTGTGGGGTTGGTGGGGAGGGGGACACTTGGGAAAGGAGAGGACCATAGGACTGCAAGAAAGGAGGGGTGGGGGCTGGAAAAAGAAGAAGAGGGAGCGAAGGAGAGAGGAAGGAAGGAGGGGGAGCCGAGAGGGTGAGAGCAGGAGAGCCAGAGGCAGGCGAGCGAGAGCACACAGGCAAAGCGATACAAGAGGCTGCAAGGAGCGGGGAGGAAGCTTGCTATTGACAGTGTCCTTAAGCCTCCCACAAATAACAGCCATTAGTGGGAAGGTCAGGAGCTGAGCAGGCAGCTTGACTGAGGCACTGAGTGCCACTTCAGAAATCAAGAGGCTAGCAAATTTTAGAGGGAGTTTAAGTGGGTAATAGCTAGCTGTAAAGGTACAGTCACTGTTGACAATTGACTCATAGGGTTTTTCTGCCTCCCCCCCTCCAGAATATTTTTATTGACCACAGGTGGACTTAATATATTTTAAGGCAACAATTCTTCGGGTTCTTGTTTGTTTCTCTTCAGATATTGAATTTGCTGCTTTTGAGACTTTTTTGTGCTTAATGGTGGTGAACCAGAGGGAAGTTTAACAGAAAAGCTTTCAGGAGATGGCGGTTCTAGAGGGGAAGGCACATTTGTGTCAACATAGTGCACGTTTTCTCATCTTTTCTCATTGTCCACTAATGACACCCAGCTGCCATTGAAGCTCTTTTCTGTTTCTTTTGTTGTTTCAGAGAGTAAGGTTTATTGTTATTCTTGAGTTAAGAAGGAGCAAGGAGAGTGGTACATTTGTCCTCGGTATTTGTAGGTGGTTGAAGATTAATGTGCCTTACATTTTAAGTTTAGGAAGGATGGCTTTTTCCTGCTGACTACTTTTATGAGATGACATGAATTTACCTTTCCATTTTGGAGTTACTGTTTATGTACAGTGCATTTTGTTCAGTTCTGCTTTTCCATAAATAAGGTAGATAAATACGGTCTAATAAATAGATGTTTTGTTTTAAAACTGGGTTTAATTAAAAATACGACATGCTATCGAGGTTATATTTCATCAGGCTGGAAAATGTTATAGAATTTTTCTATAGAGATCTTGAATGAAAAAGTGGAATTTTTATATTCATTACTTTTTGCCTGAAATGGGACAGGCTTTTTTTCTTCATCTTTTTCTTTTTTATGATTTGAAAGGATATTGTAGAAGCTTCATCCAGGAACTTTAACAAAGGATTTTTTTTTTTTCTACTTACTGAGCTTTCAGAAAAGGTACACTTTTTTCCTTTTCCATTCAGTTTCTTATTGTTTAACATCCAATTGAGTAATTAATGCCCCGAGGGAACTGTATTGTAAATAGTGTGTATTTATTTTGCAAATGTTTATTGTGCATCTTCTATGTTCAAAAACCTGCTAGGTTTATTTATATACTTTTTAGAGTGTAAGGTCACATCACTATGTATATTATTTTCTCCAGGAGTTTATATGTGATTATAAATAGCCCAGCACATACTATTTCTTTTAGGAGCTAACATTTAGACAACACCTAAGCCAACTTCACATTCTCTTACAGCTGAGTATTTCTCTTTCTTCCAGTGTAATTAGGGGGAAAAAAATGTTTTCAAGCCTAGCAGTCTACAAATGTTTAAGCAAAGACTAATGTCAGATACTGCATGCTATACCCGAAAGCATTGTTGGGGAAAATTCCCTGGGAAGGGCCCCAGCCTCTCCCTGCCCCGTGGACCGTCCCCGATTCCCGTGCTGGCTGAAGTGTGCATGAGTGTGTCTCTCTCCCCGTGTGTCTGGAGAGGGGTTAGAGCAGGGTGTCATTCGGTGCCTGACAGTGGAACAGTGCAGTTGACTCTCAGCTCTCCCATCCAATGACATGCAGTGGCTGAGAGTTTGAAGCTGATGGTTGGGTCTCCAGTGCTGCCTGCACACCTGACCGGCAGCTGTTAAACCGAGCGAAGGCAAGCTCAGGGAGTCACAATCTATGCATAAATGATAGGGGTGTCTGTGTAGAAGGTGCAAAAGAAGCTCTGACCCCCTCCTTCCCCCCAATCTCCCCCTTCCCAAATGAAATGCACAGTTCAGCCAGCTTCTTAACTACACTACACTCCTGCTACTGGCTGCCAAGAGGCTCAAAAATCCACCTTCACTTTTCAGTCAGAAGAGGCAGAAGTGGATGTGAGAGAAAGAGAGACACTGAGAGACAGAGAGCCAAAGAGGGCAAGAGACTTGACTTTAAGAGACTCCTGTACTGACAACTCCATGCAGTTCGGAACCAGAACGACTCCGGCTGAACCAGGGTTCATGGGGACATGGCAAAACGCTGATACTAACCTCTTATTCAGAATGTCCCAACAGGTAAGTTACTTTTTTTTTTTTAAGGAAACCTTGAATTGTTATGTGTACTTTTGTTTCTGGTATTTTCCTTTCTAAACATTTTTGAAATCTTGATCACTTCGTCGTTGGGCTCTGTTTTGTCATAACTGTTACTGGAAAGAGCAGGGTTACTTCTTGGCTTCCCTAAGGGTTCCTTAAAAGAAAGGGGGGAAAGGATACTGAAGTAAAAGAAAGGAAAGGCATTTGTGGCAAAGTTTCACAGTCCAGCCAGGGTCAGGGGAAGACTTCATTTATTTCTTTGTTTTCTGTTAAATAATAACAATAATAATAAAAAGCCGCCCCCACCCCCACCCAGGACATGTTATCTATCTGCATTAATCACTTCATCCAAGTGGCTGCTATCTCAAGAGTAAGGTTTGCCAACCCCACGGCCATAAAATATAGGGGCCCCTCGGCCCTGCCCGACGGACTTCCCCGGGCTAGAAGCGGCTTGACTGCGAACCCGGCCGGGGAGAGGCGGCTGCGCGGGAGCCGCTGGCAGCGCCGCCGAGGGCGCGGGCGGAGGCGGCGTGCGTGACGGGCTGAGCCGCTTCCGCCTCTTGCGCGCTGGCCCTGCGCTCCCGCCGCTCCCGCCCGGCTCCCGCCCGCTCGCCCACCCGCCGGCCGCTGCACTCACACTCGGGCAGCCTCGGCGTCCTCCCCAGAGCCGTCCTCGGGCCGGCTGGCTGCGCCGCCGCCGCGGGCTCTGCGGGGAGGGTCGACGTGTCCGCCCAAGGCCGCCGGCGGCTGCTCGTTAATCAGCGGAGCCCGCGGCTCGTACCACGTACCGCGCGCTCGGTGGTACCTACGCGCCCCGCGCGCCCGGCTCCTCTTGCACAATCGCTGGCTCTGCGGCTCCGAGGGGGAGCGAGGGGGAGAGGAAGCGAAGGGAAACAACCCAGAAACTTTCATCTTGGACTGTGCTCAAGCGAGGGAGGGAAGTTCCCTGGTGCCTCCCTCCCAGACACGTCTTTGCTTTTCAAAAGCCTCCATCAGACCCACACAAAGCAAGAGTTAGTACGATATTAGCCTCCCCCCAGCACGAAAGTGTGACTCTACACTGGGATTGTAAGCAGATGGAGGTTGTTAGGAAATGGGTATTGCTCCTCTTTCTCTCTAAAAAAAAATACTGCAATTACTTTCTTTTATGGAAACCTGTTTTGTTTGTAAGGAGTTCATGAGAACGAAATACTTTTATTGAGTTAATTTGATTTTTAAAGTGTTGGTGAAGAAGGAAAGAAACCAGTTTGCCAGACTGGAGACTACCACAAGTTTAGAAATATATCTGCGAAAGGTAGTACAGAGAGCCAGGGTTTTGTAGCCTTTAGCTAGAGAACAGTTGTATCACGCAGTTCTAGATAGGATAAATGCATTTGAATAAGGTGTATTTTGACATATCCTGTAGAGGGACCCTGATTACTGCTGATACAGTAAGCTGGGATTTAAATGCAATCAACACAAGCCCAATAAGCAACTCTTTATGTGCAATTTCCCATTCTTGCAAGTTAAAAAGTTCATTTCCTCCCAGAGATACTCTTTGGCTTGCCTCTGCCGGGTGCTTTGAGAGGTGTGTTTCTGAAGCACATCCCTGTGACTGTCTTCCTGGTTGGAACACAGAGTATGTTTTCACTGACCTTAAGATCAAATAACTTGTTCTCTACTTTAAAAATTAGATATCATCTTCAGGGTTTTCTTGTTACTGGAGGTCGTGGTCTGTGTGTGTGTGTGTGTGTTTTGAAAGGGGAGGTTGGTTTAGATCTCCCTCTAGCTAGAAAAGAGTTAATAAAACCAGATAGAGATAATGATCAATTGATAAATGGCTATTGAACCACATAGATGGTGTTAGATTGCTTCTTTGGCAGTAGCCCATTTCCAAGTAGATTTGAATCTAAGGAGACTTTAAGTTGTGCAAAGCATTTTAGCTAAAAAACAAAAGTAAATTATATAAATGGTGGATCAAAATTGGGAAAATAATTTGAAATTGCTCAGAGAGAGAAACTTGTGTAGCTAAACCATTATGATGTCTTTGATCCAGCTGTTTCACTCTCTGGATATACAAAAATCTCTTTTGTGTGTACCTGTGTTTATATACGTGTGAAAGTGAGCATCAGTGACTATGGAAAGAGTAGAAATACAGGGAAATAATTTATGCTTTATGGCTGCTGTATGAAGTAATGTTAGTTATACTATTTACTAAACAGTAGTACAATGAAAGAAAATCACAATTTTAAAAAGTGTAGTTATTTTATTTTATATGTTTGCTTTATTTTTTGGTTTTGATGTAGTTGGCAACTCCCTCTTTTTTCCTCCTGTCATGGTTATTAAATGCTTACCTCCTCTGCATTTTTGGAAAGCATCTAAAGAGGGTATAAGTTTACATTTTTTTCCTCCTTCAGGATGATGTTTTAGTTTGTATAAATATTGTGTAAACTTAAATTGAAACTGTGTGTAAATCCTAAAGTGTGTACTGTACATGTTTAATATACATGTTTATTTTCCTGACCTATAGTTCATCAGCAATGCTGATTCAGTGTGTGTGTGTACATGTGTGTATGTGCCAGTGTAAGGAAGATACTTCTTGACATGATCTCTCTCGAAGCCAACAGTTTCAAGGAATACTAGTCTCAATATACACATTAAGTCAGTTTTTGTCTTACTGCAGGTAAAAGTTTGTCCAGTTAAAACTGCAGAATTTTATATTTCTAAGGCCTAGAGATATTTTTCTGTATGAAGATTATTTTAATTTCTAAGGGAAAAAAATGGACTTAGCTCATGAAGTGAATATTTTGGGCATTTTTTTGTTTCAAAGTTATCTGTAATAAGATAAAGACTGTGAGATTTACCTGATCATTTCTTTAAATATTAGAAAAGACTGACTAGCCAGTTTCAAAACTGAACTATAGAGAATTCACAATCCGTAGTATTTAACTACAGCAAAACTTAAAAGTGGGAGATAGCTCATGAATACTGAAATTTAATATTCTAGCGTTGTGTCTTCTATGGGTAATTTAGGAAGTAGGGAGATAAAAATCTTTGTCTTTTGTTTTGTATGAGCAAAGTTAGATCTGCTTATATGTAAATGTTCCAGTCTGTCTAATTCTAACAAAAAGATAACCGCCATCTGAAGCCAATTTAGATTTGGTGGAACTAAGTCTATTCCCCTAAAGTTCAAGATATGACAATTTGATTGCATTTTCTTGCCTCTATATTTTTCTTCCATATTTTAGTATGATTTTTTTTCAAAAGGGATAATATTTTTTCATACAGACAAATACTTGATAACCTTGAAGGGCATGACTCTTAACTTCTGTAAAGGGAGTTCTTTGGGTCACTTTGATCAGTGACAGGTCGAGAATAACCAGAAACTCTTTGCTCATCTTTTCTGTTCTTCTCCTAGAGTCCAGAATGTTGTTTTGCCCATTTTAAACTCACAAGGTATTGCTAAAAGCAGAAAATAAGGTCTGCTTTTGGAAATCGTTGTTGTTTTAAACCAGGCTTTAAATGATGATTTTTTTCCATTTTTGTAAATACTTTGTTCATGTGAGAGAATAGCAGTTAAAATTGTTTGTAGCTCCCTCAAGGGATGCAGTAGTCTAATAATATATTTTGAAATCTTCTCAGAAATAAAACTGTAACAGGTAAAGGGCTAGAGCTTATGCTTTACACATTACTAGAGGCATTTACCTTTTATTATTGGTGAGGTATATTTAACCTGTTTCAAATAAAATGTGAATCCCTTAATAAGGTCTCTTTTCAGACACGAGTGAAATACTAAGTTAGAATTATAAATGACTCTGTGCATCATTATGTAGTAATTTAGGATTCACCCAATGATGTAACAAAATTAACAACATAATTTCATTGTGAAACTGTGTCTTGTTAAAGAACAACTGTCTGACATTCTCCTACAGTTGCTTTATTTAACTTCATGCAAATATTATTAGTAGTGACATTTTTCTATTGTGCATTAGATTCTCTCATTAGCATGATGTGTTAGTTATCACCAGAGAAATCGTTTCCTAGTTAGGTGAGGGGCAAACCAAGAAAGCTAAAAATTAAATCAGTGATTTACATTAATACCAGAGCGTCTGCTCACCAGAGATAGGACAGAATCAAGCAAACTTTCTCACTAATATAAAATCTAGCCCATTTCAGAGAAATGATAAATAAAATATATTGTCAGAAACATATAACAACATTGCTGGCATCCATTTAAAAGCAGGTTCAATATGCATTTTCCTCCCAGTAGTCTTTTAGTTCTTTCTATTCATATAGGCAAGCACAGTTTCCGTTGGTTGAATCTATATACTCAAGTGGAAATGGTGATTTGGTCTGACTTCCTACCTGCCCCCACCCTCAGATAATTTTAATGTTTATTCACTAACAGTTTAAAAGGCACATAGGCAGTGTTTCTTACAGGTCAGATGCCTAATTGTATATCGTGGTTTGATTCTTCTGTCTAGTTCATGGAATGCATTTTATTCTTAACTCTATCCCCCTCGTGCAGCTGTCCCTTTTAACAGAGGATGTATATTCTTATTTGACCAGAGCCCGGAGTAAAGCAGTTGATAGTTAATGGTCTTTGAAAATGACTTTCACTGCCAGGCATCAGCCATCTCTAGGTTTCTGCACTTTTCCTCCTCCCTTTTTACTCCCCTTCTTCCAGTTGGTGTGTTTCAGTAATCACATCTTACTAAAAAAGGATTAAATTGACCAAACTGACGGTCTTGATGCTAAAATAAATATTTATATTATATTAGGAGGCATGTAATTTCAGCCTGTTGAATTAGTAGACTCCTACCTCCAATTTAGTTTGCCTCTCTAATTTGAGTGATAATGTTTTATATTGAAGTCTTAACTGTAGACATCTATTCAAATATAATTCTTCTCATCCATTCTTATCATGTAACACTAACATTGGCAATTTGGGTAATTGTTAAAATACAGGTTGTAGCACAGGTGTGTTGGCCTGTACTTTGTAA